CCTAGGATGTGTGGTAATTTCTGTAATTCTGTGAGCCCACAGGCCTGCTGCGACATTCACAGGATCAATTCTTCCACTGGTTTTCCACAAAAACCTGATCCATCACACCATGCAGGCGCAATTTAGATTAATGAGGCAGAAGAGGTCATCTGCAGCCCAACTGCATGAAAACTTAATTTGAAAATCTGCAGTTATTGGATGAGTAGAGCCAAGGGAGTGAGACGACATGAGGGACCACGGCAGGAGAATTTGTAGGGCACTGATTTCAGCAGTTTGACTTCTATCACTAGCCTAAAATCACAGAATCATTAAGGCTGGAAGGGACTTTTAGAGATCATCTAGTCCAAACCCCCTTCACATGCAGTGTCACCTAGAGCACACGGCACAGAGTTGTCTCCAAGCAGGTTTTGAATCTCTCCAGAGAAGGGCATTCTGCAACCTCTCTGGGCAACCTGTTCCAGTGCTCTGTCACCCTCACTGTTAGGAAATTTTTCCTTAAGTTCCTGTGGAACTTTTGTGTTTCAGTTTCTGGCCATTTCCTCTAGTTCTGTCGGTGGCCACCACTGAAAAGAGGCCAGCACCATCCTCCTCACTCCCTCCCTTGAGGTACTTATAGACACTGATTAGATCCCCTCTCAGCCTTCTCTTCTCCAGGCTGAACAGGCCCAGCTCCCTCAGCCTCTCCTCGTAGGGCAGATGTTCCAGGCCCCTGATCATCCTTGTAGCCCTGCACTGGACTCTCTCCAGCAGCTCCACAGCCCTCTTGTCCTGTGGGGCCCAGAACTGGACACAATACTCCAGATGCGGCCTCACCAGGGCTGAGTAGAGGGGCAGGATCACCTCCCTCGACCTGCTAGAGATGCTCTTCTTAATGCAGCCCAGGATTCCATTGGCCTTCTTGGCCACGAGGGCACACTGCTGCCTCATGGTCAGCTTGTCGTCCACCATGACACCCAGGTCTTTCTCCACAGAGCTGCTCTCCAGAAGGTTGGTCCCCAGCCTGTACTGGTGTCTGGGGTTATTCCTCCCCAGGTGCAGAATCTTGCACTTGGCCTTGTTGAATTTCATGAGGTTTTTCACCGCCCAGTTGTCCAGTCTGTCCAGGTCCCTCTGGATGGCAGCGCAGCCCTCAGGGGTATCAGCTACTCCTCCCAGTTTCGTGTCATCAGCAAACTTGCTGAGGGAGCACTCTGTGCCTTCATCCAGGTCATTGATGAATAAATTGAACAGGACTGGACCAAGGACTGACCCCTGGGAGACACTGCTAACTACAGGCCTCCAAGTAGACTCTGCAGCGCTGATCACCACCCTCTGGGCTCTGTCGTCCAGGCAGTTCTCAATCCACCTCACTGTCCTAACTCACGCTTCCCGAGCTCAGAGGAATGGGACTCATTGCTGAGGAGGAGTTACTAGAGTGGAGGTAAAGTGCAGAATGGGCCCAGAACGAAGAATTACAGGTGTGGCAAGACACAAAAGAAAATGACAAGGCTAATTCTCTTAACCTCTGGGAAAGGGGTTGATTTGATACTTTTAAAAATTCACTTTAGTGAAATTCAGAGCTACCTTGTACCTCTGAAGAGTAGAATGCAATGGGACCCAGGATTTCTAGGAGAAGCCTAGGTTCCTCCTTCGTATGCCTGTGGTGAAAAGATCAGCCAAAAGACCAGCTTTTATTCTCAGAGCATATCCTCTTTTTTTCCTGAAGGCAATATGAGGAGACTTGATATGTCTGGCTCCTACAACAGCAGAATGTCTCCTTTCCACATATTATGCAGGGACATGCAAGTACAGTCCCCCTACAGGAACCTGACTGAAGTATTTTGGCAGACCAAGGCGTAGCAAAGAGCACCCAGAGCTACAATGCCAAAGGTCAATGAGGTAACTCACCTGGTTTCTCCATTACCATCACTAAATTTTGGCCATAGGCCAAGAAATTAGAAACCAGTAGGAGGCCGGTCCTCCAGGACTGGCAGGGGAATATTTGTCTGAGTGGATGTGGGTGTTTTGCCATAAAAACATTGCCATAAACATTATATTATTCTGATACAGCATCTGATCCTTTTCAAGTGCTAGTGTGAAGTGTATGAAAATAGTAATTCTCATTTCATTTGAGCAGGTATCCAGAGGAGCAGAGTCTTCACAGTTCACAATGAGAGCATTTATCATAATCTTTTCTCCCTCATGTTGTGACATGTACAGCCCACGTACATTTTGCAGACTCATTTGTCTCCATAACAGTCTCTTCCTTAAGAGTTACAAGTCACTGCAGGGGAGTCACTGCTGTGCCAACAGTGCTGGGTGCTATTGCTGCTACAGCTGCTTGCTTACCACAAAGACCATGAAGGACTTGGTTGCTCCTGCATTCTGCTCTGACCAAGACATTGCTCTCACCTTCTCTCTGGATGGAGAAGGTGCTGCCCTTCCCTGTCTTATGCAGTGCTCTTTCTTGCTGCTCATGATTCGCTGGAAGGAATGTCTGTGGAGATGCTGTGTAGCACTTCTTGCAGCAAGGCATGCACTTCTTGGATCTACCACACGAATGTGAGAAGTCTGTGTGGTACATGCAGTAGCACTGATGTACTACATAGGTCAAGAGTTACCACATCAGCATGATTCACCTAATCCATCTATGTATGTACAGTGAATATGTCTAAGACTTCTGGACCTACCACAGCCCTGTTGTCACATAATAGCTTGACTGGTCTTAAGTCTCAACAATGCATCTCCAGACAAATTTTCTGTGTGGTCAAATAGGGACCAAGGTATTTGCTAGCCTCCTCTGGTAGCTTACCCAGCTCTAGTCCACTAAAGAGTGGATTGTCACAGCTCTCATACTGGCCTGGGAGCTGGGAAGTGAGTTCTCCAGTTCCCTTTAAGAGACAAGAAGGACTGTGACATCTACATGGTGAAGGCTAGATTTACTCTCAAGCCTCAAGACATGCTCACACTCCTACCCCAGACAGACAGCAAGGCTCAGCGCATGCTCTGCTCCATACAAAGGGTCACTGACTGGGAAAGAGACTCTGCCACTGCAAGTACCTGCAATACCAGCCTGCTGGTAAGGGGAGGTGGAAGCTGATTGAGAAGCTGCCTCCACATACATGGGACTTGACAGTTCTGCTACTGGATCTCAGATGACTGATACTAATATACCTATAGGTGAGATAAAGCTTTCTACTAGGTTAAAGCACAACTCTCTCTTCCCTTCCTCCCCTTTAGCAGCTTTTCTCAGTCTGCTTGTGATTCAGACTATCTGCCCTCAGTGATGTGCAGATAACACCGTGGGCTAGGTTTATCACAGGGATTTCAGAGGGTCTGGGGCACTTAAACAAGCGGACAGATCCTGACCTATCTGCCTATACCTCTGGCATAGCCTTGAGTCAACTCTGGATTGCCACAACAACTCTTGCATTGGGCCACAGACAAGATTTTCTGCTTCATTACATGTATTCATATCCACACGGATCTCGGTCATTTGCCAACTGCTGAAAGCATTGGAATGAGTCAGGAACAAGTGAAAATGATTGTAATTGAAGGGAAGTGGAATCTTTTTCCATGGTTTTCCATTATCATCTGGGTGTTCTGCTAGCACTGATGACCCCAAACTGACGGGGAAGGCATGGTCTGTTGCTCTCAAAGCAGACTTCACAGACCTTTGTCTGTAATGAAGAAAGGGCAACCATATAATCCAAGCGACATTAACACAAGAAATGGAAAAGCTCTCTCCACTGGTGACTCCATTAAAACAGGCATTTCTTTTCTAGCCATATAAACAATCTGGGCCAAGCACTTTATGATGAGATTGCCAGCACAGGAGAAAGTGGATGTGAAAATATTGCAAGCACTTACGAGTTTGCTACCACTGTACCACAGCACTAAATCATGTCCTGCCCCACTGGCTCTTATAAACGTCAGAGGGGGCTGTCTAGCTGTAATGGGAGGTGACACCTAATCCAATTTAACAACTGTTTAAAATAAATCATGTATTACCACTCAGATAGGATAGTACTTCTACACAGGTAGAAAGCAATAGCCTCAAAACCACCTGCTTGACCATCAAGAAATCCAAACACAGCTTCTCTTTCCTGTGCTTAGCACCAGTGGTTGAAGTCATACATGCTAACAGGAGATGGCTGGCAAGAATTAGCACTTCAAACAGGTTGACTTCATCTTCCCAGTGCCAGCTGAGATCCAGAAGGTGCAAGTTTTGACTCTTCACTGCAGCACATTCCCTAGTGATGCTGGTGTCAGAGCACTGGCTCCCTGTCTCATCTCATGAGCGTTGGCAGTGCAGGCAAACCAGCCTTGTGAGACTGAGATTGGGAATAAAACATGTTATGTCATGATACGTTTCAGGGCTACACTAACAAGGGGGCAGTTTAAGTTCGACACCAAGTATATTACTACCTTCTGAAATTGTGAGCTCCATCCCTCCCATTTATTGTATTGAAGATTAAATGCAGAGCAATGGAGCTTTTAATTCAAGCCCTTTATGACTGTGGAGGCGTGCACAGAAATTCTCCTGGAAGTGGTATGGACTTTTGTGAGTCAGCAGCAGAAAATCATTCGTCTAGTAGGAAGAGAAGAGCCCTAATCTCAGAGCACTGAAGGAGAATTCATCTTGATTTCTGGACTTGGTCATTCCCCTGCTTCATTTTCTCACTTTTCATAAGGCAGGGAAGTCTCTGCCACTCTGTGGATCATTGTGACAGAAAGTGGAATTGCCACATTAAAAACCTGGGACTGGATGGCATGTCTTGGGTTTACAAGACCATTCATTAGGAGTCAAGGGATAACACCCTATCTTTCACAAAGGATCCCACTATTTTTCCCTTCTAATAGCTTTGATTCCCAAGCTTCACGACACAGATATTCCCCTCCTTTTTTGTTATGTACTGATTCACAGTCAGCATTCAAGAGTATTTAAACTCAAATTTAAGATCTAAACAATGCCATACTCAAAGGACCTTTGTCCTACAGGGCAGATTTGAGATGAGTACCTCAGCAGTTCCTCTGTGTCCTCCTCAGGACTCCTGTTCAGCACAAACTCCCCGCTCTCAACGGCAGCTGGTAGCAGTAATGAGTCGCCCAGTCTCACCACCCCACCAAGGTCTGGGTCTTCAAATAGTTTCAGATCTAGAAAAGGGAACCAGAAAAAGCTAAGAAGTCAAGTAATGCTTCATAATACATTACCTGCATTAACACTAGCTAGGAAATCTGGTGATGGGTCTTTAAAAAAAAAAAAAGAAAAAAAGCATGTATCAAATTATTTTTACACAAGGACTTCCAATCTACAAAGTGTGATTAAACACATCAGTGATACGCCACTCTCAGGACTTGGTAAATCTGATTCCCTCTTGCATTCAAAAGTAGGTCACTTCATTCTTGTTAAAGAGCCATAAGTGTAGGAGAGTCAACTCCCACAGCTGTGGAATACCTAAGCCCAGTAGTGAATGGCTAAGGGAACTGTAGGCCATATTTATTTCCTCTAAAATTTCCTCTATTTCCTCTAAAATTTCCTCTATTTCCTCTAAAAATTTCCTTATTTCCTTCCTTTATTCTACCCCTAAGAATTCTCTTAAGATTCCCAAGTCATTCTGTAACCTGTATCATTATATTTTAAAAGCTCACTTATACAAAGTCCTTTAGAAAAATCAACCTGTTTATATAAACAAATGGAGAACGGGTTTACTTTGTTTCATCTTCTTTCTGGGACCAACTGATGAGAAATCTTTCTCTGGGCCAAACAGTCCTTCCTCTGGATCAACTTCCTCTTCAAAAATGGTTAATTTAGGCTCCTCTTCTTTCTTGGCTGGTGAAGCAGATACCTTCTTTGTTTTTTTAGTTCTAAAAACATGAGAGACAAGAAAATCAGCTGCAATTCTGCATTTAACAACAAAGATTTATGGCTTGCAGAGTCCCATAAACTGAAAATAGATGGAGGCTGGGAAAGCATCAGAGAAAGGTATGTAGGCATCTGTTACAGTCCCTGGCAGGATATTGAGCTAGATGAACTTTTGGTCTGACGTAGTCTAACTGTACTCACATTTTGTATTCTTAAGAACCATAAGGGAACCCAATGGGAACTGGAGGAGCACTGCTAGCAATGCTGTACTGTAAAAACCACCTATCACCCTTCTTGTTAACAGTTCTACTCCTCCCCCGCAGAAAGCTTAAAATAAGAAAGAACAGTTGTTCCAGCAACACTGTTATAGACAGACAGAAAAGGAATGGCTTGAAAATAAAGCATAGGCTGAACCATTGCACTGATCCCTTTGGAAGCGTTTTAAAAGGTTTCTTCGGTTCCCCTCCCTCACCACTGACTGCTGCAGTTTCTGATCGATGCATAAAGGTGCCAGTTAGTGCATGAGAACATCCTCATATATCCCAAAGGAGACACGGTATGAAGTCTTCTGTACCCTTAAGATGAAGTGAGCACAGACTGGTAGATGCTATGTTGGACAGACTGCATTTACAAAAGTCAGTCAATACTTTCTGGTACCACGAGTAAGATTAATTTGCTCTAAATTTAGCCTTCTAAAAGTTTGACCATGAAACGAAGTTAATTTTTAGACTTTTCTAGTCAGTGGAAAGAGACATATCTCTATAGAACAATTAATCCCATCTATTTTGAACACTGACATCTGGATGCAATAAATCTGCAGATTTCTCTGTGTGCCTCTCCAGTGGGTAGAGGAGGAGGCTAAAAACTGCTTTGGATTAAAGGCCATTTGCTGAGGGCTTAAACTAGGGGAGATTAATCTCCTTCCAAGAAGAGAGGGAAAAGTACTTGTCTCATGCTCTCATACCTAAGAGTCATGTTCCATGAGATGAAGCTAAAAGGCAGATTTCACAGTAGGGCAGCTTGAGTTATGAGGCAGAAAGTGTCATTAAAAAAAAAAAAAAGGAAGAATTTAGAGCATCCAAAAGCCTATGGATGGAAAGTCCAATTCAAACTAAGTAGAAAGAAAATAATTCCTCAGGGTAACATGTCCCTCCTAAAAAAACCTCCAGATTTTAGAGATTTTTTCCTCTTACCAGGCACAGCTTGGCAACTACTAAGTCAGTGTCTTTGAGCACCTCTTACATTAGAGGATCTGATTTTCTCCTCTGCAGACAACAGGTCAGGTTTCAGCCTAGGGCAAACCCAATTACCATCATTTAACATGCCGCAGTCATTAAAAGCTAAGAACTAAGGTCAAAAGATTACACACACATTCCAGATACACTGAGGAACCTCTTCCAATTACAGCTGTGCACATTGAGGCCTGTTAGTTCCATTTTCAGAAGTTTTTCAGTAACAAAATAGCACTTCTGCATCACAATATCTTGCTAGCAGCACTTCACCTCTTTACAACAGGAAATGCTGCTCTCAGCAGCCCAAGAGCCTCATGCAAAACTTAACTAGTCTTATCCAGAAACATATCCTATTCTGCACACTAATGATATCTCTGGTTTTCACTGAGCAGTTCGCTGAACTACTTTTGATACACACAGCTTCCTTCTTAGAAGGGAAGAAACTTCCAAGGCCTTGTTTTTTTGCATTTGTCCTCATTTTGGATATGCCTAGAGCGACTTCTGCATTTGTGCTAGTTTTGCATCACCAGCTCTGAGGAATGATCTCAGATTGAGGCATGTGTATAAGAGGCTCCTTCCACTGACAAAATCTAAAGTAACACTACATACAAACTAGACTTTTCACAGAGGATTTCTACACAAAGTCAGAATTACTGCTTCGTTAACTGCAGTAAGTAATCTAACACTCAAATGAGCCTGAGTATTGAAGGAACAGGTAACAAATGGTAATAAATGAGAGCCATTACTTAAAGGACAGGAAGAAAAGAGCAATATAGCTGAGTCTTACAGAACTGGCACATTTATTAAAGAATAGAATTAGTAGGCACAAATAAGTAAGATCTTTTGGGGAAGGAACAACCTTTATTTGCAGAATTCCTGCCTTTCAATGTACTAGTACTCTGGAGAACTGAATCAGCATGTAGATAAGGATTGGAAATCCACAGAATGTCCAAAGCCTTCAGCAAGATGCCTGTCCATCCAGAGAGTTACAACAGCTCTCCTGACGCACGGGGGCTTGTTACGCCACGGGAGCTTGCCCATGAGCCAACACATCCCCAGGCAACAGCCCTCCACCCTTGCAAAGGTAACAACGGGTTTACTATTAGCATTATGAGCTATTACTATTAGTAGTATTAGTTGAAGTATCTGCCACAGAGTAGCAGAATGCTGGGAAACACCAAGTAAAGGGAGAAGAACCATAAAAACAATGTCGTAACAAACAGTGTGTAAAACAAAATGAACTGAAAAGCCTTGGGATTAAACCTCTGTTTAGTCTAGCAATCAAACCAGCCCACTTACACCGACTGGCTTCTGTTTTGCCAAGGGACTCCACTGGCAGTTGCAGGGCATGGGGCCAAGCCCACAGGGTTTGACTGCTACCAGTAGGAACATGAAGAAGTTGTTTTTCTGTCTTCAAGTCGTTTCCCCCCACTGCCCTTCTAAGGAAGGCAGAGCTGAACTGCCAAGTAATTCCAGCATATCCATACAGGGACTCCGTTGAGGTCAGCCTCCAACTGTGAAACAGAATTCCCACGGTTCTGTATATAGCTGGGCTGGTTGAGCCTGTGCACTGCAGAGCAGAGGTTAAGAGATGGGAAAGGGCATGTAAGAAGTTTCAGAGTCTGTCTGAGGTTCTGGTTTCACAATCTGCTTCAGCTGGCCTGGGACTGTGTTGGAAGAGGTAGCTCTGCCCTTCAACCTCACCATGTATCTGCCACCTCCCATGAGCTGGGAACCAAGCTGGCTGCTCAGGAGGTCCCAAAAGTGCTAGACATAGCACAGAGGAAAAGCACAAAGGGACATGGAAGGACAAAAGAGGGAAGGAAAACCACATCCAGTAGCACCATGGACTTAACTTGAAAGGAGCCGTTCATTAAGGCATTGGTACTTTCCTCATGCAGGAGATCTCCTAACATCACACTTGCAATGTTGGCATGTGACATCTTGAAGCTATTTGCATCTGGCATAAGATGACCCATGTCATTGCTTCTTCCCTTGCCATGAAATGAGGGGACTTTTCAGTGAATTTTCTAATGAATTTTAAAAAACTGCCAAAAAACATACCAATCCTAAAACGGATGAACCCCTTGTTCAGCTGAAGAGCTTTCTGAAAACTTACCTGTTTACCCAGTTGAACCTACTGGTTTCTATACATGAAACACTGTGAGCCATCAGTGCCTGTAAACAAGGACTGATTTTACAGCCTTCAGCCTTCACTGAAGAAGACTGGATTAGAAAGAGGCATCCAAAAATTAGTGAGTACGAATTTGCCTAGTCATGCTGCAGGCTCACTTGAAACCCCAGCAGAAATTCTTGGCTCCCCAAAGACTCTCCATCACCTGTGAAAATGTCCATAAAACCCCGTATGCAGACACAACCTCTTTCAAAGCCAGCCCATTCTGCAAAGCAGTCCTCCTTTTGCTGCTTGCAGACACAGTGTTGGTCACTTGCACAGAGGCGTCCAGAGCTCACTGGCACATCAATACCGCAGAAAAGCTTTTTTTGATCACCTGTAAAAAATTGCAATGGGGACGACTAAGACTCTCCAAAGTGGGAGGATAAGATTCTCAGATCTGCATGTGTGATATCTATGTTGTGAACCACGGGGCCTCCAGATCCATAGTGACATATAGCTTGAAGCAAAGAGCCTAGGCTCTGTATCTTATTCAGTAAGGCAGGAGAAACCATATTCACAACTGGTTTAAAAGACAAGTAATAAATACCCACTTTTGTTTATGCAATTATCCACAGTAAGTGCAACCTCAATGCTCAGCCAAATACTTTATCATTCATTATCCTGAAAACACGACCATCTCTTTTTTCCTAGGAAATGCTCTGGGAAAATAGTATAATAATAGTGTTCTAATAATACAGAAAAGAATTACTCGAAATACACACGTGTGTATTTTAGGACTGTCACTAGTCTTACACAGACAGAGCTCTCTAGCACAAACAGGCACCCCAGCTCCCACAACACCTCTATGTTCTGGCTTTCACGACAGAACTGCTACTAATATAGCAATAATATTAGCACATCTTGAAAACCATTTCCGAAAAACAGAGATCCTATGCACCAGTTCATGCAGAAAACCAAGTGTCACCTGCTGCTTTCTTTTCATTCAGCAGTGCTCGTTTTCCCAAGCTGTCTGAGAACAACACGCAGAACAAAAGGGGTCATTCTCATCTGCTCTGGGCCAGGGAGGCAGAAAAGAAAAATCCAAGTGAGCTCCACGCAGCCTGACTGCTAAGCACGAAGAGACAGGCCCTGGCCACAGGGATACCTTATCTCAGCTTGTTTCTTGTTAGATCTCACAGTAACCTGCAGTTTTAGATGGCCTTGGCAAACCCCCAAATAAGATAACTCATAAGAGATTAAATCAATCTATCAGAAACCATTTAAAATAAGAACATAAAACTACGGGGAAAATTTATTGTGCTGCAACTTTCGGATTAGTTGTTCCAACGGAATAACAAATTGAAAGAAAGCAGGAAGGAACAGATTTTCAAGACTGCATTTCCACCTAAGGACATGCTTTAGTGCAAAAACTTTTTTTTTAAGGGTACAGTACTCTAGAGTACTTCTTATCCCTAAAAACAGCTAAAAAGTTTTAAAATCTGATCTTAATCTTTCTGATGATATCCTTCCAATGTAATTTAAAAATAGAAAACATGACCACACGCTGACAAATTTTGTTTAGTATACAGCTCATTAGCAATAATTATAATATAGGAACATTTCCTGTAAAGCTTTCATTTTAACAACTAATGAA